AAAAAAAAAAAAAAAAAAAAAAAGAAAGAAAAGAAAAAGGATGAGAGAGCTATATCCATAGACATGGTAAGATGCTGTCCTTCCAATATATGACTGAGTAAAAATGGCAGTTTACCAAAATAGTTAAAATGAACAATGCAGTTCTGTTTGCATCTACCTGTGGTGGTGGAAGATGTCAATATTGGCTTATGTTTTGTATATTATTAATTCATTAAATTGTAAGAAGAAATCTAAAATTGTTTTTGAAATAGAGTTATGAAAAGCAGAAGCAACAGATGACATACAACATCAGAGTTAATGATAAAGAATGAAGACTTCAATGCAAATTAGCGTGGGAATTACTCTTCAATATTATTCAAATTCTTTTTTTAAATATCCCATTTTTTGAAGTCTACCCACAAATCGTAAGTCCCTAAAAGAAAATCTCTAATGTCCCCTACCTACCTGGATGAGTAAAAGGCCATGGGCCATCAATGAAGCCAATATAAGCTGAGAGGCCTATTGAGAGCACTCCATGGGTGAATGTCACCAGCCGGCAGCTCCACTCATAGCTTCGGTGCTTATTCAGGTAGCAGAAAGATGCATAGAGTGAAAGCCAGCCACATAGGCTGCACAGCACCTGCAGACACAGAGCTAATGCCATCCTAGGATGAAAAGACCAAAACCAGAAAAACAAAGGATGCACCCTAAGGAAAAAGCATTGGGTCATTTTGTGTATATGTCTGTATTACTACTATAGAACTGTACTAAAACTTTGCCTTCACTGAAACATTTCTTCCTCTATATTGGCTAGTACTGTGTATATGTCTGCATTACTACTACAGAACAGTACAAAAATCCTGCCTTTACTGAAACACCTAAGAATCGTCTATTTAAGTATGGCCATATTTATAATTCCAGGTTCCTCAGAGATAACATGCTGATACGTGGTGGAAGCTGTACCACTAGAAACCAGGAAATGCATTCTGACTTAGTAGTTAATATCACAGGTTATAATGAGCAATGCCAATGACAACCCTCCAGCCATGACTGTCTTTGGGCTGTAATACAGAGATAATAAAGCACATATATTTGATAATGTCTTAACATTTCAAAAACCTCCAATGTGAAGCTCACATGAAAAAACAGAACGTGGCCCCTTTGGGGATCTGTCATATAACACCGACAGGTTCCTTGTGTTTTTAAGATGGAGCTAAATTTGGCTGAGGTTTGGATTTGGGTCATATGTTTATCAGTTGAAATCCAAACTCAAAGTAAACCTAAATATAGAACTAGACAGAGTCCAAATACCTTGGAAGATGGAAAGAAAACCCTATTTCTGTTCTGAAATCCTACTCAAATATTTACCAGCAAGAAAACAGGATTTTAAGGTAGGAGAGGCATTTTTGTTGATATAAATTTATAACTTTAAAGCAATTATTCAGTTAAAAATGAAACAAAGTCAGAAAGCTACATGTGGGCTTGGTACTGGTAGAAGAATATTTGAACATGAATAACTAAAAATCAATTTGGCCTCACAGAACTAAAATCCAAAAATGACCAAGATGTCACTTTTAATTAACATTCATTAGTGCCTCCTTTGAAAGTACAAATGAAAAAAACTATTGCAGATATCTGACTCATCTCAGCAGGGATTTTCTGCAGGACTACACTTACTGCTTAACCGTATTCTGACAAATGAAAAGCTATCCATTTCAATACACAAGCCACTCCCAAGAATGCTATCCGGAGAGAGTTTAATGAAGGACAAGTTCTGTACAGCTTTCATCTAAAATGAAAATAGTAGCTGTCCGGACATCATTGACCCGAGTGCTATTCTCTCTGCCCCTGGCTTGCAGCATGGGTGTGGAAAAATCATTTTCACCTATAGAGCTTGTTTTCCAGAAACAACAACAACAAAAATGGAACAGAAGAAAGGAGAAAGGGGACAAGGACTGGCAAACTCTATAGTCCATTTTAGTTCTGACACGGAGTTCTAGAATAAATGCAAAATGGCTGGGCCAATTTTCGGTGCAAGGGCCAGAAATACAAAGCACCCACAGTGAAAAGTACTGTCCTCCTTATTTCCTTTTGAAGGCCAGGTTCACTAGCCAGTAATGCGGATCAGCCTTTTGGACATGCCGATTAGTATTTTTAAAGTCCTCTTCTCTGAATCCTAATTCCCTGGCGCAACAGAGGCAACAGTAGCCAATTTACAAATACTCGAATAAAAGCACAAGACTTTTTAAAAGGCAGATACAACTCTGTGACCTTGGGAGCTGCCTGCGTTGTAGGACGACCGAAGGGTACTGAGAAGCCCAAAGCTCCCCTCCCAGTGGTCGCGCTCCGGCGGGCCCGGCAGGCGAGGAGGA